CAACCCCCTCCCGCCCCCCTCCTCTGCCCGCCGCCGCTCAATCAGTCCCCGTGCCGTCCTCCAGTGGAACCGCAAGCCACAGCTCGCTGGTGAGACCCCGCGCGTGGTCGTCATCACCTCCGGCAAGGGGGGCGTCGGCAAGACCACCACCACCGCCAACATTGGTCTCTCCCTGGCCCGCCTCGGCTTCTCCGTTGTGGCCATCGACGCTGATGTCGGCCTCCGCAACCTCGACCTTCTCCTCGGACTAGAAAATCGCGTCAACTACACAGCTGTCGAGGTCCTCAACGGCGACTGCCGTCTCGACCAGGCTCTCGTCCGCGACAAGCGCTGGCCCTCGCTTGAGCTCCTCTGCATATCCAAACCCCGGTACAAACTCCCCCTCTCCTTCGGCTCCAAGGCAATCACATGGCTCGTGGACGCCCTCCGCTCCCGCACGGACGGACACCCGGATTTTGTACTCATAGACTGCCCTGCTGGCATTGATGCTGGTTTCATTACCGCAATTGCCCCCGCCGACGAAGCCGTCCTCGTTACCACTCCCGATATTACCGCTCTCCGGGACGCCGATCGCGTCACCGGTCTTCTTGAGTGCGACGGCATTAGGGACATTAAGATGATTGTCAATCGAGTGAGGACGGACCTCATTCGCGGTGAGGATATGATGTCAGTGCTTGACGTACAGGAAATGCTCGGCCTTCCGTTGCTCGGAGTAATCCCAGAGGATGCCGAGGTTATCAAGAGTACCAATAGAGGCCTTCCTTTAGTGTTGAACAACCCACCGGCACTGGCAGGCCTGGCATTCGAGCAGGCTGCTTGGAGACTCGTGGAGCAGGACAGTATGACGGCTGTGATGGTAGAGGAGGAGCCTAAAAAGCGTGGTTTCTTCTCCTTTTTTGGAGGATAAAAGGTGAACGCTTCCTCTATTGCTGCTGCTGCTTTTAAGAGGTGTCACTGATTATCTTCATTCTTTTTGTGCATTTTTTTTATCAAACTGTTAATGTGCCAGTTCTGAGTTTTGCCTAGAGATGCAGAGCTTTTTAGGTTTATTTTTATTTTATTTATTTATTTTTTTTGTAAAATACATGAGAGGATCAGTTATCATCTGTGAGAATGGATTTTTGTTCTATTTTCTTATATTTGGCATCGTGTACCGTATTGCTTGTTCAGTTGCTACGTTTAATTTTCAGGAATGAAATTTGTGTAAGTTTTCAAGTCTCTTGTTCCTGGAATGACCTTGGGAGATAAGAGTTGTCTACAGCAAGAAGATTTACGCGTGTTAGGGTTTTTTAATTGCTTGCAAGCTTGCCTTACGAGCTGAACTTTCATCTATCTGTCATAAAAGGTATGAATATTATTTTTTCTATTTTGAAATGTCTATAATTGTCACTCTATCATGCGACTAAAGAAGTGTCCAAATATGTGAATTGCCCTCCTAAGTCAAAATCAGTATGACCAAGGAAAATTGTTCCTGCATTTTAGAGCATGTAGTAACTTTTTTCAGTGTTTGGTGTATATTTTTAGGTGTTATTTAGAAGTTTGTATGATGTGAATAAGCTTATCATAACTAGATTTGCTACTTTGATAGCTCTAGGTGATACCTTAGGACCGAAACGTGGAACAACTTGACAACGCTGGGCGTGATGAATGAATATATGAACATATTTTGTACTCATGTAAGGCTAGAGGTTTGTATACACAAAATATAAGTAACAAATAGTAAGTAAAAAAATATAAATTTGTTTCATTTTATCAGAGTCAATTAGTAATATAATTGGAAAAAAATCATGAAACTAATTGGAATAAACTTTAACATCAAATGAATAAGCAACTCCAAAAAAGTCAAAAGAACTAAAATGAAATGATACACGAATCAAAATATCAAAGTGCAACTATTGTTGAACGGTATGTATTAGACTGACACCTAAGGACAATTTTGTTTTTTATTAATTATTATTACGAGGTATAAATATGGCTAATATGTTCAGCGTTAGATTATGCTCTGATGAGATTGCTGTATTGAGTCTTAGGATTAGGGTTTGGGAGAGATCTACTACCTCTGGAATTGTAATTGTTATGGTAATGGTTTGAGAGAGATCGTTTACTGCTCGAATTATAGATATATCTTTTACGTATTCGAGTTGTGTTGTTTTGTGCTATCGAAGAAAAACATTTACTTTCCCCAATTTCAGTGGAAGTTCCTATCAAATTGGTATCAGGACAATCAAGTTCTGGGAGATCATTGATGTCATCGCGAGATATAAAGCTTTCATCTTCAATAATAACCAATTTTTGAGAAATCAGAGTTCTGGTGGCATAAAATTATACCCAATTTTTGCACTCCTCAGATTTCAATCAAAATAATTTTATAAAATTCTACACGAAAAATCGATCTATTCCATATAAAGCACCACACATGAATAATGAACGAATTGAGGGATATAAAATTTGAAAGTCATAAGTTTTAATAAGTTAATTAAAATTAATTAATTCTTTAATCCTCCCTTAATCCCACAGCTTTACTGTTTCCAACCGACTAATGCTTGTATGTGCATGTTCAAAAAAGGATTTTATCCCCTAATGGTATAAGCAACAGACGCCAATGTCCCAACGTGCGTAGAGTTTTTCTACCATGTCAGACAATTGTGATTGTTAGATTATTAACCACTGTGCCGACGGGATAATATCGGTCAGGGGCGAGTAGACAAGAGCTTATTTTCTCAGACAATTGTAATGTTTACATTACTAACTGTTGTGTCGACGAGAGCCGACAAAGCAAGTATCGGTCAATGGTGTGTTAGGTTTGTTGACGGTGATATTTACAGAGACAAATGTATATGTAAAATATAAAGTAAAAGTAAATTTAAGCTAAATGCTTATAGAAGATTGAGTATGTTTATTTAAAAAAAGTTATTGATGCATGCATTAACATATATCAAATTGCTTATAAGTATATATATCATATTACCTATAAAATAAATATGAAAAACCAACATATTTTTTGATTTTTTATAGACTCACATATATACAATATTATTTTTCTTAGATTACTGTTGTTGAGTTGTGTGATTACTTCTGGGTTATCTTTCGATAACTCATTATGTTGCTCTAATATTATTTTTAGGGTTTGGGAGAGATCGCCTACGTCTCGAATTATAAGTGTTTATCTTTTATATATTCTGTTTGTGTTGTTTTGTGCCATTGAAGAAAAAATATTTTGCCATAATTTTGCTGAAGTTTCAGCCATTCAGCTCTTATGATGATGGTCCACCAAACACATCGGTAGAACCTGCTATAATAAAATATCAACAAAAAATTTTGATGAATAAAACTTAATAATTAACTATTATTTACATAGTTTAGGAAACCAAACCTAACCGGCTGATTCGACCGTTAACCGGTCGGAGGTCCAGTTCTGGATGACCTCAAAACCATCCCCACATTGAACCGGAATGAATCAATTGGAATCGGTGGTCCAACCGTTGTATGGGCTATAATAGGCGGCCCAACCGTTTAATCAGTTTATTTTTAGAG